GATGCAAATTTTTTTTCCAAAATATTTTCAACCTCCAATTGGTTGAATCCACATATGCAGAACTCTGGATACAGAGGAACAACTGTATATTGTAAAATCCTTATATCTTACATGAAGCAATATGATATGTGAAGGTAATGACACCTCATGTGAAAATGGACTGTGATTAAAGATTTGTGCTGTTCTAAACCCTAGAGCAGTAACTTCAGAAATAAGATGCATATTCTGCCAACAGAAGAAATAAAATGGAATTCAAAATATACCCAATCAAAAAGAAAGAATGAGATTAGGAACAAAAATCAGATGCAATGGATACCTCACAAAATAGAGCTTATATATATACATAAAGCTAGAACTAAATCTTGTAGAAGAAATGTAGTGTACTCACAAATTGGGAGCAAGTAAAGATTTCTTAGGACACCAAAATATGGAAGATAATAGGAAAAAGATTATGAATTGGCCCTCAGAAACATTAAAAACGTTTATCAAAAAAGTCATTTAAGGTGCTAGGGTTACAGCTAAGTGATAGAGCACTTGCCTAGCATGTGTGAAGCACTGGGTTCAATTCTGAGCACTATGTAAAAATAAATAAATAAAATAAAGGTACTGTGTCCAGCTATAACAAAAAAGTCATTTAAGAAATAAATCCGGACTGGGAGAAAATATTTGCAATTACTGTCCTAGGACTTGTATCCATGGTTTTATAAGGAACTCTTACAACAAGATGATAAATAACTCACTTTTAAAATGGCCAAAATATTTTAATGCACTTTACAATTGATGCACTAATAAGCATAAAAAAGTGTTTATCAAAGAAGTGCAAATTAATACCACAAGTAATACCCTTTGCCTACTAGAATAGCAAAAAATTTTTTAAATCACCACAGAGATGCAACAACAGGAATACAGCCAAACATTGCTTTAGGGAATATAAAATAATATGATTTTGAAAAAGTTTCATAGTTTCTTTTAAGGTAAAACTTATATATGCTAATAACCCAGAAATTATACCCCTATTTACTGAAAAGAAATAGACTTGTATGTGCATGTTCATAGGGCTTTATTTATAACAACCCCCAATTACAAACAACCCAAACAACCACCAACAACATTGCAGTTTGCAGTGCAGTACTATTCAGCTGTAAAAAAAGAGCCAATGACAGACACATTCGGACTGGATTAATCATAAAATATTGCCGGGTGAAAGAAGCCTGACACAAAATATATACTTTGCAAGTCCATTTAATGGAATTCAGAAACATGCAAACTAGTCTCTAATATCAAAGAAGTCTAGTTGTCTGAGCCTGGGTGTGGAGTTGGGAAGCTAATTACAAAGGAACAGAAGGAAACATTTTGATATAATAGAAATATTCTGTATCTTCTTCCCAATGAGGTGGTAGTTACCAGGGTGTGTACATATTGTGTTCAAATTTAAAATGGGGTGCATTTTACTGTATATAAAAGTGTACTTGTGTGAAATTGACTCTTAAAGTGAAAGCATACACTCTTCTCCTTAGTGCCCAAAAGTTATATATTTCAAAAGTAGGATGATTTCAAACATGATGAATTTGCTACAGTAGACCATAATTGAAAAATCAGCGAAAGTGACTACTTTGGTTTTTAAAGATCTGCATTTGGTTGTTTTCCTATTTAAAGAGAAGGTTTTTTTTATGTGATTTTTTTTTACTTTTTACTTTTAAATTTTAATTTGCTATATATGACAGCAGAATGCATTATAATTCATATTGCACATATAGAGCACAATTTCTCATATCTCTGGTTGTACGCAAAGTAGAGTCACACCATTCGTGAGTATAAAATCATGGCATTTGCAGGTAAATGGATGGTTGGAGAATATAATGCTAAGTTAGCCAGTCCCCCCAAAATGCAATCTCTTTTATCAAAACCAATAGAAATAGTGAAAATAAATGGAGTTGGAGAATATAATGCTAAGTGAAGTTAGCCAGTCCTAAAAAAACAAATACCAAATGTTTTCTCTGATTTAAAGATCATGATTCATAATGTGGTTGGGTTGGGGGTATGGGAGAATTAGATGAACTCTAGATAGGGCAAACGGGAGGGAGGAATGGGGAGGCGGTATGGGGGTAGTAAAGAGAAATTCTTGTTAGATGAAAGGTAATATCAGTGATCAGGTTGTTTTCTTGTTCTTGGTTTGTGTACTTAACATGAAGTGTTAAGTCCATGAGATGTATCATTCCTTTACTATAAATGGAGGCATGGTGTTGTAGTACCATGTATGAGCTTCAGAGGAGCAGATATATCATGTCACATATTTGAACCTATTTCTTCTATAAAACATCAGTAACAGCATTTCACAGGCTGTTTTAAGGATCCAATAAAATTAACTAAAAAATCCACATGTGGATGCTGATTTTACTCCTCCTCCCCTTGGTACCAACCCTGGCAATTAAGGACTAGATATAGAGAGCGTGGGTCACTTTCCTCCCCAAGGTTCCTGGTGATAAGTTCTGGGCTTCTTTCAGAAGATTCCTGTATTATTAATCTTACTGAGATACTTCAGTATTTTATTTCAATAATTTAAAAGAAACTTACCATAACTATCACAAAAGTAATCTTGGGTTTTATGCATGGTAGGCAAGTGCTTTACTACTGAGCTACATTCCAGCCCCTTACATCAACAGAAATTTAAAATATTCTAAACCATGTACAACGCGTCTGTCAGGATACATTCCAAAAGGATATTTAAATATAAAAAATGAACCATGAAAATCTTTCTAACTATGATTCAAAATCCAGAAGTCATAAAAGCAAAGATTAATAAGACAAATGACAAACTGGGAATAAGTATTTGTCATTTTTATCTCAAAGGGCTAATCTTCATAATATTTTAAGAGCTCCTTTGAAAGGAGGAAAGAGATCATCAACCCAATAGACAGAGGGCAGAAGACATGCAAAGAGAGATCATAGAAAAGGAATTCTATATATGGCTTTTAAACACATGAAGAGATTCAGCCTCATTCATAATAAGACAAAAGCAAATGAAGACACAAAGGTACCATTTTTTACAATCTGGCTGGCAAAAATTTAATAATTTTTGGTATTATGAAAGTAATGGTAATGAAAGTAATACTCAAAATAATTAAAATCATGACATTACTACCTATTGACTTAATTTCTCATAAAATAGTGAAGACTTAGATAAAAACCAAGCAAGTAAAAAGATCATAATCCATGGCCTCAAGCAAGGCTGACTACATGATTTGTACCCTAAATAATCAGAGAGTTTTGTATAGGCAGATAAGTTTGGGGAAAACTTCAGGGAGTGATCAATGTATAAACCATGGATCCTGGTTTATGGTCAGAGGGATAGAAATCTCCTTAGATTTTTGGCATGTTGCCTTATTAGTATGTGGAATGTTTTTGTTTTGCTTATAATAGTGCCCCTTTTTTATTCATACCTATCACATATTTTTAAAACTCAGGAACAAGCATTTTGAGCAATTATGGAAATTTAAACACAAAAAAAATCCTCACCTTATGTCTTTTCCCAATTTAATACTTGAGAATGTTGGTTATGTATGGCTTTTCCAACTTCACTATTTTGTTTTCAGTTTATACTCATTTTTCTTCTTAATGTTAATGTTTCTCTGTACTTGTCTATTTTATTGAATTGGTAGGAACTAACCTTGCTTATTGGCCCTAGGATTTGTAACTAGTTTCATTAATAAAAATGAGTGATCTTAGACTCTGATTTTTTTTTTATCATTTTGATGTATATATTTCCAATCTGGCTTTTGTACACATAAATACACTTGGGTTTTCTCTGATACTCTTTTAGTAAACATATCCACTTTTACAAAATAGATTTAACATTTTAGTGCTAAATGTGAAGTGCTGCATGCAAATTATTAAAGGTTTCTGGGCAAATACTCGTATCTGATACATGCCATTTCGGAATCAGAATCTCTTTAAAGTAAAATTAAAATTTCATGCTTGCGTAATTTTTTTTCAAAAATATGATTCATCATTCTAAAAAATGCAGTCTCTTTTATCAAAACCAATTGAAATAGTGAAAATAAATTCCTTCCCAATAGATCATTTTCTGGTGAATGATTAAACTTTCTTGGGTAACAAAAACTATAAAATAACAGCTTGGCAAAGGCAATTTTAAAGACTGTTTCTAGAGAGTAATTTTTTAAGTTTAAATTGAACAGATAATAGTAAATGGTAGGCAAATATCTCATATTGCAGAAGGCATTTTTTAAAGTAATGTATTTTGTTTTAACTATATTGATCATCATTGAATAAAAATTCAAACTTATTTAATACCAGTTAATACCCAGAACATATGAGAGAGTTTTTTCATTTAGTAGAAGGTCACCATCATTCATTTTACAACTGATGATTTTATAATAGGTCCTTCTGGTTCTTGATGGTCATTATCAAAGTATAATGCATTGAAGATATGGCCTGTACAAAAGCAGAACAGGGATCTTAATTAGAATTCTGACAAGCCCACTCCAATAAAATGATGAGATTATTTGTAATTGATGTCACAATCAATTACCATTTAGTTCATCATGAGCATTCTAATAGGTCTGGCCTTGGTATTGGCCCCAGGATGTTGCTGAGTGAGTGGCTGCCCTGCTTATGCTGTTATTGAGACAGGAGGGCACATTTTCAGTCAGTATCCTAATGACCTCTTTTGAAGTCTATTAAATTAATGACCCTGTCACAGTTTTGATCTCTTGTAACCTCAGTTTGGGTTTGTATAACAAATTACTGTTTGAGAACAGTATGATTATAAAAAAGACAGGTCTTTTAAAAAATTGGAACATTTGGTATTTATTTTATTGTGTAGGAAATAGAAGCAAAAATGCAACTTAGGATTTGTATGTATTTTAAAAGAAACTTTAGGATATTTCTCCCTATTCCAAGTGACATACTTCTTAAAGATAGTACCTGAATTAGATTTTATTGTTTCTCAAGGGGCTGCTGCTCTTATTCTGTCATTCTAGGTGCCAACAGGTCATGTTTGGTTAGAAGGTGATAATTTACAGAATTCTACAGATTCCAGGTATTATGGACCTATTCCATATGGACTTATAAGAGGACGAATCTTCTTTAAGGTACAGTTTTGTGCTTAAAATGTTTACTGTATTCTCTGCATTTCCCCAAAATGAACCTTTGAAATCTTCAAGATGTCAGTGGATTTAACTGTTGCGGTAACCACATTTTATAACATATTGGCTTTTACTTAGTACCACTATATGAAACATTCTCATCTCCCCTTGCCTAGTCTCACAAAATAGGTATTAAGAATGATTTTTCAATAATAATAAAATTAAAACTCACTGATGTAGCAAAAGAACCCTTTCATTTGAATTCTCTCTTATACAATCTGGGCATATTTTAATAAGCATTTGCGGGAGAGCAGTCTAAGTTCACAATACCTTGCTTTATAGGTATTGTGAAATACAGTTACACTAGTTAAAAACAGTGAATCATGGACAGTTTATTGTGGTTGAAGCAAATATACAACTTGTAGGGAAGATTATTTTTTTTTATTTTTCTGGATCCTTTTAATCATAAGCAATAATAATAATAAGAAAAACACATGAGTATCTGGGGCAACTGGATAATTCCCATAATTCTTTACAATTATTATATTCAAGTACATAAAACTTAAAAACTTTAGGTTCAAGATGTAACAGACATATATATTCATAAATACAGAGAATTTTTTGTATATTTGAATGTTCCAAACTCAACATTTAAATACATACAAGTGATTTTCTAAGTCTTACCCTTTTTAAAAATTTTTCTTAATTTTGTAATTTGTTCTAATTCATTATACAATCTTATTCTGATGCAGAAATTTTTATTCTTGACTAATAAGTAAGGATAAGCATTTAACTATTTAGCATAGAGAAAAATGGATTAAAAGGAGAAGGGAATAATGATTATATAACATCACTTTTATTAATTTTCTTCAATCACATTTTGATTTTACAGATCTGGCCTCTGAGTGATTTTGGATTTCTACGAGACAGCCCAAATGGCCACAGATTTTCTGATGATTAGCAAGCATTATTACTTTTAACTTGATTATTGTTTCCTGTTCAAGTGAATTTATTACTGCAGTTGAAACCATGTACTTAACCAATAAACTATTTGCTGTTCAGTTTTAGTTATTTGTTAAATGTAAAGAAAAGCAATCCATTCTGCAAACTCTTGTTCAAAATATTTTTGTGTAAAAATAAGTATAACCCAAGATCAGTGTTTCATCTAAATTTTATGTTATATATAAAATATTTGCAGGGGGACCTGAATGACTATACTTCACTTGCAAATTTTTTGTCTTATATAAGTGAAAATAATCTACTCTTCTTGAAAGTGCCTTATACTTCAGCTATAGTAACTATTCTTATTTATAAAATAAGTTTAATCTGCAACATTAGAAGTTCATTCTAAGTAAAAAGCTTCTAAGTTATATGCTTGACTCACTCCTTTGAAGTTAAGTAAAAAAGTTTCGGTGATCCCATAAGAGATTCTGTCAAGTTCTTTAAATGAGTTCTGATTTAGACTGTATAAGAATATTAAATGTATAGAAAAATACATCTTTAAGAATATGACATTTACAGGCTATTGTAGGCAATAATACTTTATAAAGTCCATCATACCAGCAATAAAATGGTTCTTATTCACAAATATGGCAATTAACACCAAACCTTAACACCTTGAAATAAAAAGGAAAGGGATGTACCAATTTCAGACTATTTTTTAAAGCTTCCATATTCTAAATTATACTTAAAAGTTGAAGATGGTGAGGTTCATAAATTTTAGAACTAGAAGGCCAGGACTGGAGCCAAGTCTTAATTCCAAATCTATTTTTCTAGTTGTCACTTCCCATTTTTTATTCTTCGTATTCAGCCTTCATTATGGGAGAACTGGGATCGCATATTGTTCACAGAGATTCTAATTTAATTATAATGACACTAGAATTTGAGGTAGGTATAAAATAGGCCTATAACTGTAACCTGTTGGGAACATTATCAGTTAGACACTTTATAAATATAAAGGAATATGATGATAATATTTCCCAATAAGAGACATATTTATGTTAAGAAAAAGAATTCTTATGTTTTATCAATGAGAAAACAAAGTTTTTAAGATGGGAATCCATAAAATATAACTCAAGTCCTTTTTATGGCAACGTAAATATAGTTTATAAGTACATATAAATTACTACATTAATCTTTTTAAATGTAGGTGATCTCTGCTTGATAATCTTATCGTTTCTTTGCAAATAATAGGGAAGAAAAAAAATCCATTTCCTTAATGCTCGAATGGCCTCTCATCATCATGTCTGAATATACACTTGAAGTATTCCAATAGTAGTCAACAATTTTAGCTATAATGAAGTAGTTCTATAATTAGTGAACATGTATCACAAGAAATCAGGTTAACTTCTTCTGCTTCATCTTTGGAAACACTGTATTTTCCACCACATCGGCAACTCAGAAAAAAAGAATGATCATCTGTGAAGAAAAAAAAAAAAACTTCAAATGCTTACAAGCAACTACTTTTCTTATAACTTTTAAAAATGCAGAGTTTATTCCATAGAAATCGCAAAACAAACAAACAAAAACCCTCAATAATGATAAAATGTATTTAAAGGAGAATTGGAAAACATTTCTTGCAAGGAACAGTGTTTCTAAAAATTACCAAAGCATCTATCTGTAGATGAGAGAAGTATTAAAGCTATGAATCAACAGTCCAATGATTTGGGGGAGGGGGATGCTTAGAAGCAACTTGTGAAATGTTTAATTAAGAATCATAAAAATTTTATATTCTCTAAAATATATTTTCTAAAATATTACAGTGAAAGAGAAAGGAGCATGATATTTTGTCTAGAGTCTATCCTTTTAGAAATGACTGGTAACTTGACTATCAGCTAAATAATATTTGGATACTTCCTTTCTGGTACCACATGATTTCAATATATATAAACACCATAGTTTTTTGCAGTTTCCCCCACCCGATTATGGGGGATGTATGTGTACCTGATTGTTTGGTGTTTACAAATGATATATGAACCAACAGGAAACTGTCTGAAGTGAGATGCCCTAAGGAGGCAATGGTTTCCTCCTAATGGTAGAAATTTTAAGTATGTCCTCTCTCTGGAAAGTTTAATTACTAGTGTCCTTGGACTGAAAGAATTTCTGATTCCTCTGGTCTTCCATTTTATTATCTCTGGGAAGTAACTATCAAAGAAAAACAACTTATTAATCACAGTATCTATTTTACAAATATCATAATTTTTTTATTAGAGACAAAGGAGTTCTCAAAGGATTCATGATTTCCTATGATCAAATATTGTCATTCAGTTTTCAAACTTGATTAATATTTATAACTCATGGAGTATGAAAAAAAGAGAAATTAAACTGAATGTATTTGCTCTCTACCAAATCCAATCTTAAAAAAATTAGCAATAAGGGGCTGGTGTTATGGCTTAGTGGTAGAGTGCTACCCTAGTACATGTGAAGCTTACAAATAAGCTGAGGTTCAATCCTCAGCACCACATAAAAATAAAATAAAGGTATTGTGTCCATATGTAACTAAAAAAAAAAATTTTTTTTAAATGAGCAATAAGCCAACTTACATGCTTATCAGTAAGAAAAACATGAATACACTCTGTCAATCCTGTTTTTTATTCTTCCCCACAATGCCTTTCTTCTCCACAAAGACTAATTTAATTTTGATTTCAGAAATTCATCTTCCCTATCTAAGCAATATACAAATATACATGTACTACAGCATGTTTTCAAAGTGAATGGTTTTGTTGTTAAAATGTCTAAAAATATACGTATTCCAACCATTCATTGATTTTAAGCTAAATCTCCCCCTCTTTTGTTTTTTTACCACCTCAGTGAACACTAAGAGACAATCTGAGGTGACACGTGCTTGGTAAATGACACAGAGGACAGCATGAGCTACTGTGGAGTTTTGTCATAGATATTTCCAAATGTTAGTGCTCACTAAAAATTAAGTTTTTTGAAATTTCTTACTACCATCAAGTTCTGAAACAAGGTGCTATTTTCAAAGAAATCATAATTTTAAATATAGTGAATGAAGATCAACAATATGATCAAGTTACACTAGACTAACTTGTAAGGGGAAGGTTAGCGTCAATCTCTCAAATGTTCCAGGAATATATGCCTTTTAAGCATAAGAAAATGCACTACTTCATACTGTTCTTTGATCCAGCAGCAGATACTTTGGCTATACCCATCATGTAGGGTTTCATCAGCTTTTCTCCATTTCTGGATCTTCTCCTTCCAAGGCCATTCTGAAAACAATCCTGAAGGAATCTAAAAAATTTTTTACTTGCCCAAATGATCACACTTTTTATTTAACTTCATATGCTAAGACAGCTCTTATTCATTTTTAAATAGTCCTGCAAGAATAATGGCTTCATGCAGCTGTTGTTCAGTATTTCCTCTCAGGAGGACAAGGATTATCTCCAGCTTTACAATGATAAAAATTCTTAAATAAGCAAAGCTGTTCTATATATTTAAGATTAATTGTATCTGTTTAATACTGATTCACTGGCTGTGGATGGGATTCATCCCTGTCTTCTTTACAATGGTTTACTTTGGAGAGTTCCAGGGACAATAACATTTCTGATAAGCCTTGATGATTTCATTTTCTTCAATATCCGGGTAGATTCATTTGTATGAAAAAGTCCATGTAGTAAAAAAAAGTATACTAAACAAAGGTACTTGAATCACCAATCTAAATTTTTAATTTAAAATTAAATTGTACTATTAACAAATATTTCAAAGGTAAATAAAAGAAGAAAAACTATAACAAGCTTGCTTCATTTTTGCATCATTAGGAATCATTAGTAAATAAAGTATATTAGACTTATCAATGAAAACAAGAATTAATTTGTTTAATAATAGATTAAACACATACATATATGCTGATGGACAGGAGGCAAACTATATCTTAAAAAAATATATTTACAGCAGCTTGGGAGGCTGAGGGAGGAGGATTGTGAGTTCAAAGCCAGCCTCAGCAATGGTGAAGCACTAAGGAACTCAGTGAGACCCTGTCTCTAAATAAAATACAAAATAGGACTGGGGATGGGGCTCAGGGGTCGAGTGGCCCTGAGTTCACTCCCTGGTACAAACAACAATAACAATGAAAAACACATTTATTTGAGCAGGTCTCCCTAATAAAGACATATTCTAGTTTGTCCTTCCATAAAATGGCAATGAAAAGCCTGTCACTGTTGTATTGTTTTCACAGCGGTAGCCCTTCCTGTTTATTTGACTAGACCATTGTTAATATTTGGGAGCCTCAATTACAAAAAATCTGAAGCTTTCAATTATTTACTGAAAATTAGAATTTTGAATCTGTAATTTAATTTTAGTGGTTGAGTGCAGAATGGTCAAATAGGTAAAAACATGATTACCCTTCTAAGCCAATATGGCTTGTGACCCATTTCTTTAGAGCATAAATAAAGAATCTGCCACTGGAAAAGGATGGCTCTGCTTATCTTTTACCATTCACACTCATTAGAACATTTTTAGAATCCTTTAGGTAATTTGTACCCCAAACTGAATAATAGTTATAGGTTAAGAATATATAAAATTCTAGTAAACTATAAGATTTTCTTCAATTGCCCAGAGAAATATCAAAGTATGGTACTCATGGATTATGTGTGGAAAGAGTTTTCATAATATAATGATGTCTACCCAGAGTTTTTCAGGGAACATCAAAAGAATGCAGAAATTAAAATTTTAATGATAGAAAAGGGGAAAAGACATGAACTCATGATAGGTCAAGGACAGTGACTGATTTTTCTTATTAAGAGACAATCAAAAATTTACGGTGGGGACGGGAAAAGCCTCCATGGAAAGCCCTCTCCTGAGAGTTTAGGATTCCATATAGGGAGAAAATGAACAAAAATTCTAATAGAAATTCATTTCAATTGCCACCATAAAGAGAAATAGAAAAAATCACCCCCTTTGACTTTAATAAAGTCCTTATTACAGAGAGTAATACAAAAATCAAAGTAGTACAAAACAAATGGAAAATAAACCCTTATGTACCTAACATCTAATTAAAGTAGAAAAACAAAAACAGGCCAAACAAATCACAAATACATGTAAAACCAAACTATTATTTACAATTTCCAAACATCCTATGAGGTTTTACTTTCTTTCAAAAAATTCCTAATATTTTTCTTCACTGTAGATTAGTCCAAAAGAAAAAAAAAATTCCAACCTTCGTTCCAAGACATTTCTTCAAGATATACTTGAGCATCTACTGGGCCCAAATTTCTTAGCTCATCTTCTGTAAGATATAAAATAAGACACTTTTAATTTTGATATTTTACCTATGAAGAATGAGATGGCAACTCCAGCATAGTCATTACAATTCCTAGTTATCTATTATTTAAAACCTCAGTCTACTGCCTTTTTAAATATTTATTTTTTAGTTTTAGATGGACACAATATCTTTATTTTATATTTATGTGGTGCTGAGGATCAAACCCAGTGCTTCATGCATGCTAGGCAAGTGCTCTACCATTGAACTACAACCTCAGCCCAGTCTACTACTTTTGAAAGCAATGACTTTAGCTGACTAAAAAATTCTATGTAAAATGCCATTCCATATAAACTTTAAGTCAAAATTTATCCCATTTAATACACACAAAATCATGAAGGCAGTTTATAATCAGTACCCTCTATTTTGTGAGACTTAAAAACTTTTTGTCAGATAAATTATATCTGGCTAAGAAAGCAATGTATAGATGCTATTTTACCAACTTTCTAACTTTGGGTATATCAGTTTTTTCATCACTACAACAGAAATACTCTCTCATTTGTTTATTTTAGGAGGATTGCTATGCACTGAATTCCCTATTCTCCAACCCCCCAAACAAATTCATATGTTGAAGCCCTAAGCCCAATAAGACAATTTAAGGAAGTGAATAAAGTTTAAAGAAGGTCATGAGGGTGAGATCCTAATTCAATAGGATTTGTGGCTTCGTAAGATGAGCATGAGATCATTCTGTATGTCCATCTACCCATGTACAGGAGAAAGGCCATATGAGGACAACAAGGAGGCTGTATGCAAGCCAGGAAGAGGGCCCTCATTAGGAACTGAACTGGCCAACACCTTGATCTTGGATTCCCAGTTTCCAGAAGTGTCAAAAATTCTGTTTAAACCACCCAGTCTATGTTACTTTGTTATGGCAGTTCAAGCAGACTAATGGGTATTCTTCCAATAAAAAATGATACAATGTTTTAAAGAAAAAAAGCTCTACCAAAATGTAAGGGGCTATTAGTCATCTGACTGAAACAGGATAATAAGTAACTTACAGAAAGAATTACTTTAATACAGCAGTAGCCCCACAACCCAGCTATTCTGTGTTGATGTTCCACTGCTGTTTTCTTTGCTGAAGTTTTCTCTTACCAATGGAAGATCCAAGGGAGCATGGAACACACCTAAATAAGTAAGAACATGGTCTAGGTAGTACAGGAATGTGCTTTCTTAACTAAAGTGTATTTTGGGACAAAGAAAGCAACTATAGATAGGAAACACGTGTCTTTGTGTTTAAAGACACGTTATATTTCCTGTATGCTTGTACTGTTCTTCTAGAAGTCAATGCTAAAGAAAAAAAAAGAACCTAAAATCCACCCCGCACTCCAGTGAAATTTTCTTTAGCTGTCTCACTAGTCTCTTGTTCACTTGCTGAGAATGCCTCCCTTTGTTCTGTTGTATGAATGCCTGCAATTTAATTATATTTAATAACTGCCTGTTCAAAATTTATTGGTGAGTTACACAATTTTAAAATAGATGAAAAGATTATACAATATTTTGAACTTGCCATGGTTTTCTATTAAGGTATATTAAATATTATACCACTTCATATTTACTGGGTACTGAAAGTCCCAAAATTGTCCTTAAAACACAAAGATACAGACTCTTTCTGATGGTCAAGATAGTTCCTCCATATCTGTAAAGAGCTTATGCAGAATGTGTCAGTGTGTGAAGTAATTTCCAAACAAAACAAAAAAAAAATTAATTTCTACATTTTATATAAAGTTCCCTTGGCTATGTGTTATTCTCTTATGTCCAAAAGTCTTGTGATGGGGAAATATAATCTTATATTTTAATTTCTTACTGGAAAGACCAAGGTGATTTGCTAGAACAGCGAAAATAAACAATCTTAAGATTTTAGGGATGGGAATAATTGGCACTTAAAAGACATCCCCTTTAGGGGAAAAACAGGTGTTGTTAACTTATCACTAAGTTGTTTATACTCTAGAGTATCTTATAGACATCTTATACAATTTTGAAATCAAATAAAGCAAAGATGGAAAAGGCAGAAATAATGACGATGAATCAGCTTTCTCATTTAACCTACCTTGGACACCTGTAATATATAACTGCATAAAAGACAACCCATTCATATATATCCATTATGCTGTTTTTATTTAAAAATAACAAATAAGAAATAACTTGCAAATATAACTGCCAAGCAAGTCAGCATCCTATTGTTCTGCTTCTCTACTGGGAAGCTATTGTTATTCTCACCTAGTTACTATTTCATGTGCAACCCTTTCTATTATTCCACCCACTCAAAAAAACCGGCTTTTACATTTTTATTATCTTTCCTTCTTTATCTCTTTGCACAGAAACTTCAGAGTAGCTACCCATTTCTTGGTTGAAAGATTAGCATAGACCATCTCTCACTGTAAAAGGGAAAACAACACAAAATGGTTAGTCCCTTGCCAGGGGTCAGAAAATGAGTATATTCAAATATTCTTGTTCTATAGCTGCTAAATATCTCTATATTGGAGGTATTATTCAATATTATGTACACAGTCTCAAGTTTCTGTGGAGATTCTGGTTTTAGAAATCAGTATCTGACATAAAAGAGAACACTTGTGATTACTCTACATTATATGAAATGTAAGGGGCAAAAGTTCCCTATGGTATAGGGGCAGAGGAGAGAGTGATGACTGGAAGAAGTCACAAGGGGACTTCTGGCTAAATGGGTGTGCTGACTGTGAAAATCTATCAAGCTAAGATTTCTGCACTTCTCTATATGTATTCTACTTGAGGAAAAAATTGTAAAGGTAGTGTATTGAGACTCTAATGGTTACATTTTTTAATAGACATAAGGAAAGAAAAATTAGAAGTGTCTCATAGGAAAGTTGTATTCTTTGAAAGGATAGTAATCTAACTTCTGAAGAGGCTGGGGATGATTAACTCAGGGGAAAATTGGATCCCAGGAGAACCTTATAATGAGCACACAGGGTACATACAAGTAAAAGGTGAATCTAAATGTGGGCGGCGGGGGGTGACCAAGATCTTTTGTTGAGGGGCAGGTGTCCAAGTAGGGGGCAACAGCAAATTCCATCCCCCCACCCCAACCCCCACTACAATTACAAGGAACAAACAACTTAAATGTGTTTTTTTTCCTCTTTAAACAATAATCTCTGCTTGTCCACCATTGTAGTTATAATTAAAAAACTTAATTCTTCCCTATCCACTAAATTAACTCACAGGAACCCTATTTTGATAATTGTCTACTAATTAGGCACAGCACCTTCAAAACAGATTAGGTTTTTGTTTGTTTGTTTTTTGTTTTGGTAGTATTACATATTATAAAGATTTTGCTCACTACAGTGAAATATTTTAACAAGTATCTACAAATTTAAGTCCTATCTCAAGATTGTCCTGTTAACATGACTAAAAATATTGAGAAAATAAACTGCCTTAGTGATTTAACTAAAGGACTAGATCCCAAGATCTGAATCTAGGATTTTTACTATAGAATGATAATAACTATTAAAAATAAAGATGAAGACAAAAGAAAAGAAAAACCCACAGCCATTTAGAAAGAAAAGCATTGCCTGGCATTTGGTGTACTCAGTCTTGAGTCTAATGACACTACACATGCTTTGATTCTTTAGAAGCAAATGGGTTCAATTTTTTTCTAAGTTTTCTGGGGATACTAAGATCTGTTCACACCCTGTGCTGTGCTCACAAGCTTCGTCAAATAAGGAGGCAAGAAAAACTTCTAAATTTATTTTACAAATAGAAAGCAGTGTATTATAGTTAGAGAGGTTCCTGAGGAATATAATGATAAAATCAAATAATTTATGTGGTTACTTGAAAAAGAATCTTTCAACCTTTAGAAGTATAGGCCCTTCTGACCTTGTGTTCTATTGGATTTGTCTGACAACAAGAGGTGAAAGAATTCTGTGGCTCTATTGTCTCAACAGTGGGATCTAAGAAAACACTGGCAGGGCTCATCAGAGAGGTTTATGAGCCTGCAATTCAAAGAGATTAAAAGGAAAATCTATGGAGATTCTTTCACACTGAAGAATAACATTAAATAACTATTAGCAGCTTGGTTCAGTAAAGCTTACTAGAGCTCTCGCTGGGTCATTCACAACTTTCTAAAAGAGGAAAGGTTTTTTTCAGCTCCATTTGGGAATCAATAAATATTTTTTACTTTTTACAAGACAATGGAATTCCAGTCTTTTTAAACTTCCTCTTAATGATAATAAAATTTCAAAAACAATTCTTTAATTTGTAAATAATTACACTTCCAATCTGAATAAAGTTTCTCTAACTGTAGCTACAATTTTTTTAAAAAAAGTAAAAATAAAAAATAACAGCAACAAAAAGCTATAGAGGAAAGGAATTTATTCATTATGGCTGAGGTATTTTAAAGTCCCATTCAATTGTACACTGGCTAAAAGATCAAGTCCATCTGCAGCTCTGTCCATATTATTCATGCATGGCAATGTCACGTTATTCAAGTGATCATGAAATACTCTCACTTAACAATTAGTCCACGATTTTTATTTTTATGCCATTTCAAAAGCTTAATCCAAATTTAAAGACGTGTGTGAGCTTGTGTATGTGTGTGTGAGTTAAAGCAAGCAGCAGTGTTTTCTTTTAGGTCTAACTCAGTATCTTCTTGTCTTGTAATTTTAAACAGCCATTTCATTCTTACAAATAATTTCACTATACAGAAACTTTTCATATAGTAAATAAGTTGAAGATAATCAATATGTCTTCATAATGTCTCTTGGAAAGTCTCTTATGAGAAAGAATTGGGCAACATTTGAGAATTGTTTGTTAAGTCATATAATCCTACAGTCCTTTCTCAGATAAAATTAAGGTCACAACTGCAAGGCTTTCCACACTGAAGAAAAATTTCAAACTTGGATATTCATTATGAATTTAAAAAATTGCAGGACTTACTACTAAATGGAAACCCAATGTTCAAGAAGGTCCCGAATGAAAAACCCAGAAACTGAATTCCT